CACACAGATACAGACACACACACCCTGGATGGGACGCCAGTCCATCACAGGGCCCACACACCCACACCAGGGCCAGGGTTCCCAGAAGCCCATTAACCCGCCAGCCTGTCTTTGGACAGTGGGAGGAAACCAGAGCGCCCAGAGGAAACCCCCACACACAAACTCCATGTAGACAGCGCCCCAATAATCCAGGGCCCCAGCACTGCAAGGTAGCAATGCTGACCACTGTTTCACTCAAAACCAAACGAATACTGCAAAATTCAAATGGACTGAAATCAGAATACGCACCACGTGCTGCCTGTAAAAGTGAGGGAGAAATAAACATGAAGATTTTTTTTAAATACATTTAGAAAGCTCACTTCTTATTCTTCTTATTTTATTAAAAAGAGCAGGTTCTAAATTCTGCCATGGCCGTTACAGAAAGCACACGTGTGCAGAGGATTTTGTTGATTTGATCACCTCAGTCTCGAAAGCCCTCCTAGTGTATGAAAGCATGCATTTGTTTTAAACGCGGACTTGCTCCCTGGATTAACTACTAACGTCTGTGTGAAACAATACAGACAAGGCTTGCTCAGCGTTCTGGCCCACAGCTGCAGAAGAGATTACCTTCAAACAGCTTTGGTGGAACTCTGGATAACATTTTAATAGGAAAGGCAATGAAGAATATTTAATTTTCAAAAGCACATGACTGTCAAAAGACAAATTCCCATAGCCTGTAAAGTGAGTTAATACAAAATTCATGATGAATTAAAAGTTAATTCATTTCAAACCTGCACCCAGTTAATTAAAAGATGACTTGGGGTCTCCCTGCTCACAACACAGACAGTCACTGTTGACAAAGCCAAGCATGAAAACAGTACTGTACTAATGACAGACCAGCAGAAATAATATTATACTGCAATGAAATTCCATCACTCTTCTGTGAAGTAGTGAAGTTGGTCTGGGGGGGGAGTCTACTCTCCATCTGAGAACAATGCATACTGCGTTCTAAAGCGTAAGCTCATTTTGTCTCCAGCAAGCCCCCCGCTTGTGATGGGCTATTTCAGACGCTCCGACAGGACTGTGCTCCACCTTCTCGAGTTTTTGTTTCTTCCACTCTGCTTCGATACAGAGAAAAAGAGGACCAGCCCCCCCGGTACACCAACACCACCCCTCCAGCACCTCTATCCCCTCCCTCCCCCGTCCTCCACACAGCCCAGCCCCTCCAGCTGAGATAACAAACCCCTGGCCGCAGAGCCTGCACGCCCCCCACTCAAAAATTCCTTTCCAGCAGAGTCCCTCCCAGGAAACCGGCCGCACGCACTCGGCCAGCCGGGCCCCGGAGATTCCCTGTGTGCTTGTCCTTTCCCATAACCTCCGAGCGCAGACCTGAACATGGGAGCCTTCAGCTAAACAACAAACAGCACGCACACACACACGTTCGTAAACGATATAAAACGCTGAGAAAAAAACCCCGGCATAACAAAACCCTTATTTTTTTAGAAAACCAAAACCTTTAACCCCAGTTACTGCTTCCCTGCTCCACAATGCTGAAAGACTTGCTCCGGGCTTTCTAGATTCTGATCCTTAGTTCCCCCAGATAATGTTTTTTCTGCTTTTCACAGATGTGCGGTCTCTACACTACGCTCACGCCTTCCAACTCGCACAGTGGCACCCTCCGAACTGGCCTACAGGCCCGAGCAAACCAGCTCTGGGCGCTGTGCTCCTCGGAGTTCACAAACCCCGCAGCGTGACGACTCCTGGGGAAAACGACTCGGCCGCAACGAGAGGAGCACGACAGAACTAAAACTCGCAATCAACATAAACCCACATCCGAAGAAGTCTCGAATCCATCGGTGCCTGGAGAACCAGGCTCCCGCGTGAGACTGAGACACGACGAACCCCTGCAGGAATGGCCACCTGGCAGCTCCACTCCCAGACACGTCACAGGTCAAAGGGCAGATCTGACTAACGAGCTACACTCTGGTGCCCGTTCTGTATGTGTGACAATACTGGTGTGAAAATCTGCTCAGATTTAATCATAAATGGGGGCTGCTGCTGCATTGAAAACATACTGATGGTTTTCCAATGTTTGTTTTCTAATGTAACTCAATTTTAAGTGATAGTTTTTTTTTTATAAAACGGCAAACAGAAGCAGAATGCATATATACGATATGCTCTATTTTACTCGCAACAGATTTGTGGACATTTCTGAATGCTGCGTTTGTGCGGCACCTATTTGTGACACGTCCGAATCCCAGTGAAAAAGACACACTGTACAGTACTGTCTGAAGTCAGACAGTTGCCAGAAATTGGGGCTACATTCCCAACAGGTGAGGGCAAACCCTTTCCTTATCCGACACAGCTTATACTGAGCAACAAAACCATGAAAGGAAATGTCTGTTGTCAAACACCAAATACTTTCATTATTAATACAAGTGATCATTTGTCACATGGTACATAGAATGAAGCAGAAATTAACAGATAGGCCTAACGACACATTTTCATTATAAGGGCATGGCTTTGCTATGAAGGACAGTGGAGACGAAGCTGTAAAAAACGTAGTGACAGGCTGGGAACGCGCAGAGGGCTTGTACTGTCGTAAACTGCCTTGGCATTACAGATGTTCCCAGGCTGTGGACTTGCTTTAGCAGCAGCTTCGGTCACCTGTTCCTGCTCTCTGTTTGGCGCTGGGCTGAAAGAAGCATGCAGACTTCTGGCGAGCGTGATATGTTTAACCTATCACTAATCACCCAAGCCAGTTGTTAAAATTTAGATCAGTATTTTGCGATGTGTGGAGTTGAATTTGGAACAGCTGCATCAAAAGTTTGCTGACAACGGAGGCAGCAAGACCACACTGCGCAGTATGAGCTAGAGAAAGACAGGAGTCCGTAGAACCGGGCTTTCAGAGATTATTGGCAAAAAGACTAATTGGCGACTTTCTAAATAAACTGTAAACAATACCAAGAACGGTTGTACTGCAACAATTTTCACTGTTACTGTAAGAAAGGATTAGACAGCTGCAGAAAATATTCACTAACATGTGTTGTGAAGATTTTCTCATTTAACATCTTCCAAAAGACACTTTGTTCAGGATTTAGTGTTTGATTTCTGGCTTTCCAGTGCGATGGAGGTCCCTATGCAAGGGAAGGGGAACTGGGTCACTGTAATAGATGCATTTCGTAAAAAAAAAGAATAATTCTTCTCCAGTCTCTGACATAAAATAAAAAAACAAAGATCTTAATGGTATGCAAATGTGCACTTCCGCTAAAACAGTAAGAGGAACAGTCTATAGTCTCCTCTAAAATACTAGCACCTGCTTTTCACCTCAGAACAGGAAACTGCACTCCACCCTTCAAACCACTGCCTTCTAAAGACGGATCAAACGGCTCTAAATAAGATAGCAGATCCCCACAACTGACAGCCATGTGACCAATGCCACATGCCACTGCATCAGCCTCTCCCTTCCCAGCCAGCCTGGTGGGATTCCTGCAGAGCCCCCGGCCTCTCCTTTAGCAGAAGCCCCCCTCCCCTTCTCAAGTAAACAAACTCCCTCCCGGCTGGCTCTCTGGAAATCAGGATGCAGATGCTGGCTTCAGCTGGATTCAGATGGGAATTTCTCAAACCTGCCCCGCTTTCCTCGAGACTTGGCGCGTTACTTAGTACCGTCTTCATCTTCTCCACAAAACAGAACTGGTATAAATATGCTAATAGATGAAGTTCTGTAAATTGTGATATATTCTAAACCCAAATTCAGGATTTTACTTCCATAAGGCTATTATTCTTGTTAGACTGATCAACAAATACAGCAGACTGTAATCACGGATCTACATAACACCTAAAAATGAAAAATTGCACACACTCTTCTCCACTGGCACGATACCTCCACACCTATAGAACACGTCCTTCACAGGACTTTGCACACCGTTTGCAGAAAAGAGCTTTGAAAGCTATGCGAAATTGAGAAAACTAGCGCTACTTCTGTGACCAGTTGCTAGACAAACCAAAAACAACCTCAGCTTTCCCGTTGCTGGAAACCTAACATTTATTTTACCCTCCCGTTTTACGGATTCAAGCGCCAAATGCAGAGGAGAAAACTTATCATGAAGTAGCTTGTTGTGACATCAGACATTACTGCCAGAACCACTCCTTCCACTCTCCCCCCACCACCGGCTCACACTGAAGTCATTTAAGTTGCATGTTATGTAACTTGTTGCTGTTGCTGCTGCTGCTGCTGCTGTTCTGCATTTGTTTTTTGGGGTGTTTCCTTAATGTCTTTGTATTGGGGCAAACATGCACCTAAGCATTTCATTGCACTTGCGCATATGCCAATAAACTGAACTGAACTACAGAATACTGCGCTCAGTAACTGTGAAGGTATGGCTAGGAGTTGCAGCTGTCCTTGCCATAGAAAACTGTGCTGTACTGTGTTTTTCGTGGTGTTTAATGTTACATGGCGTATTTAGGTCGATATCCATGGAGTACAAGATATACTGTTCAGAATGTTTGAGTGTTTGTTTTTCACTTGGAGGTTGTGCGTTAGAAGGTGCGAATAAAGGCCAAAGACATTCTGATTGAAAGCATCTTCATTTCAGGCCGCGAGGCCACAAAACGCGCTCCTTCAGGAAGGGCGAGTCGACTTTCTGCAGGTCCCATATGTGGCATGGGAGAGCTCCCCCCCCCCAGTGAACGAGGAGGGCCAGCTGCGGAAGAAAAGACTGGCGAGCGCGCTCTGTAACGGCACCTCCCTTCCAGAGGCGTGCGAGCGTGCGTGCGAGCGTGCGTGCGTGCGAGCGTGCGTGCGTGCGAGCGTGCGACAAGCGAGCGTGCGTGCGAGCGACAAGCGAGCGTGCGTGCGAGCGTGCGTGTCTCTGCGCGAAGCTGGCGGGCTCACGCGGCCGATACTCACTGCAGGCGCTGCAGGTGAAGCAGCCGTCGTGATACAGGTTGCCCATGGCTTGGCAGGCCCGACTGGCTCCGTACACCCCCTCGTCGCACTTCACACAGCTGCCTGCAAGGGATCAAACCACACCGGTCACACCAGCCCTCGCCAGCAACGCTTCAAGACATGTCTTTTAACAACAGCTCTTCTCCTCTCAGGAGTGAACATATTCAGAAGAGATGTATGAGTAGGCGATTTGTTTCTGTGACAAAATTCACTTCCTACCCGACATTCACCGCCTGACACATCTCTTTATTCCTCTTGCCTTCGGGACCCTGGGTGTCTTCAGAGAAGGCATAACCACGCCCTTCAATGAACAGCTTGATGTTCTTCCTCCAGGGACAAACCTCCAAAATAAGGCCTTACCTCATGTCTTAAAAAATCTATGATATTCTTTCTGATGCGTCAGATCCCCAACAATTATAATCCCGGAAACACTAGTGTCAGAAAAGAAGCACCCACAACCAAAAAAAAAAAAAAAAACTCTTTAGGCTATTGCAGGAAACGGTACAAAGAGGTTCACGATTTTTTAAAAAGGTAAAGCCTGAATAATGTGGAGGATCCAACTTAACTGCAGTGCTGCCAGCCACATTTTCTTAGGAATTTCGAATCCAAGTGAGAGCTTTCCAGGTCGGCAAAGTCCCGCATCCTGGCACACTCTGTGTGTTCCGATTCGACTCTTGATTAACACTAATAAGCAGGCACAGCGCAGCGCAAGGAAAAGATGATAACAAATCACAAGGGCCGACGACTTTCAGATTTTTTCTTTTTTTTTTTTCAAAAATGAGCAGGCTGCTACCACGGCTTATTATTACAGGGGAAATATAATCCAATTTGTTTGTTTGGCTTGGCAACGGCGCTGAGAACTCCATCCCAAGGCTTCTGTATTATAAACTGCGCTGCGTTCCCACCGAATGGAGCTGTATGCTCTGAAGCCAGGGTGCTTTCTGTGAAAAGCAGAACACACAGGGAGTTCCCAAGCTCAGGCAGCAGTGCAAAGTGGCTCAGTCTGGGGAGCCCAAGAGCAGCTCGCCAGCCTACTGTCAGACTCCCGCCAAGACCCGACACCTGAGAATATTACAGCATGGCATTCTGTTAAGACAAATTAACACACTTTACAGCCAGAATCACACAGCCACTTTTCCTGGTGAGGGTCGCAGCAACCTGGAACCCAAATCAGAAGAGACATTTGACAGTTGTTTGCAAATGGAAGGGTCATTTTGTCAGATTCCCTTCCATCTCTCTGCACTTTCTTCAGCAGCTGTGCCAATAATGCAGGGCTTTTTCAAGGACATGATCATACCTCATCATCACACTGTGAACTTTCTTTGTTCCGAGATGCATCTTCTTTATTCTGCGCAAGCTCCCAGTTAACCTTAGGATCTATGATACACATTTCAACTCTGAATACAGAATCAGGATATGGAGTGGACTTCAGTGTCTCTGGAACTGTGCACTCTGGAACTTGCACCCTCTGGAACTGTGCCACTTGTTTTGTTCGTACCGTCGTTTGTTAATCAAGATGTAAAACACGATGCCAATTTCACAATGGCACTTTCATCACAGCCAGCTCTGCCAAAGGCCCCGAGCTGCTGCCAGAACTCCGGCAAAGCTGTTACAAAGTCACTGGAACACAAATCCCCAAACACGTTACTGTTCAGCATGAAGGTTACCAGCATTCCTTACGACAGAACAGAAACAACTGCCCTGAGGAAAAATTAGTATTTCCTTTCGAGCAGGAAAATTGCATTTGATTGCTAACAAGATTTCAGAATCTTAAGAATTTCCTTTTCGGAATGAAAGATGCTGGTTTATCTCAGTACATAATTAACTAAACTACAGTAGCGAGCAAGTAAATCATTAAAATTATAACCTCTAACAAAAGTTTAGTGCTGACTGCTTACAGATTTAGAACAAGTACAGAGCAAAACAAAACTAAATAAAAAGGTAGCTCTACGGAATTTCTGGGGTTTTTTTGCCACATTTTACAAATGGTTTATTCTGAGATGGACAACAACTTGGGCTTTAGCCTTAAGCTTTAAAAATCTCCACAAACACCTGGAGGAGGAACAAGCCATTTCAGACTTTGTTATGCTTAAACATTACTAATTTACCAATAAAATACTCAAATTAAAAATATCATCTTGGCATCAACTAAATTTTAATCAAGCAGTTCATAAGGGAATAAAACAGTTGAGGAGCAGCAGAACGGAACAGGACAGATAACGGAGCCAACCGGGAATAGACAGGAATGTTGACCGATTTTGTGCTTGAGGCACAGCACCGATTCCTCCCCTTTCTAAAGGCTGCCTTGTTCTAAAACCTGCTGCTTTGTCTTTGATGACAAAGCACATCACTGACCTGCGAATGCATTTCTCCCTTGTCGCACTGTTTCACACGAAGGCTTTCCTTTTTCTTAGTACACGTGTATCACGAGCTCTGCTCTTACATTTACCCATGATTAGGGACGTTTTCAGATCTCAAATGGACGCAACACGCTGCTTTCACTCAGAAGGCAACATGTGTGTACTTAGTAGTAGTTTGCGGGTTGGCGTTTGTCTGCCCAATTGAAATGGTGTGCTTCATGATGAAAAATCAAGCATTTCAGAGATGAGAGGAAACTCTTGAGATGACAAAAGGGAAATGGCTGATGTATCAAATTAATAGCCTATTTCATTCGGGTGTTTACCAAGGAAGAAACCGAAAAAAGACCCCAAAGTTCAGCGTTAAACACTCTTTGTATAGAAGAGGCAGAAGAATTATAGACATTGGAAGCACTCAAGATGAACAAAATGAAAGGGTTTTAACAACTAGTTACAAAATAGCTCCTTCCCATTTTAAACCATTCTCAGACTTGTATTAAAGCAACAATGAGAAACAAATTGTTGAAGTTCAATGTCGATGCATTTGATAAAGATGAATACACTTGAATATAAAAGACTAACTTTCGTACAGAACAGATCTGCGGTTCTGCACAGCATGCTCTCACTAGAAAGTTTGTGCCTGGAGAATTCTAACCGTAAACACAAAAGGTCTTCTGTTGCCTTGGAATTCAACAAACATCATGTGCACAACCCCTGCCTACACCCTCATCACTTTACTCATGTCCTACAGCAGAGAAAGAAAGATTCACTTACAGGGAGCACCAATAAAAGTGAAATCATTATATTGATATTATATATAATCATTATATAAATATTCAGCTGTATATATCCACTGGCATGTGACGACCATGTCATGAAAAGTCTCCCATTGGGAATGGGCAGAGAAAAGATGTCACGTTTATGCTCTTATATGCCCAGGCTATCAGAGTAAGATGGAGAAACAAAATGAGCAATGCAAGTGCCACACAAGCAGTATGGAAATGGTAAAAACTAAACCAGCCTACTAACAGTGTGGGTAGAGAGCAGTCATGCAAACTCCTTGTTGGTATGTAATCCATGTTTATAGTTTGTAAGTGCAATGAGCACGCAACTCCTAAAATAGCCTACCCTATATACAATATGTAGTGCACAGGAATACTGTTCTGGTTACAGGTCTGAAGCCTGGACTAAGTACTATTATAACCGTTCACAAAGCCTTCACGCAGAGGAAACGGTTTTAAATTCTAAATGTGAATGTATCACGTTCTGCACAAGGTTTAAGAAAGCAAATGAATGTGAACGTTTTGGTTATCTGCGCAGCCATCCAGCACATCCATACTGCATGAGAGCTGCGACAACAGGTGACGCAGCAGGAGAAAAGCAATTAAATGGACTACAATTAATTAAAGGAGAAGAGGCCAAAGAGCCCATCTAATTCACCTGGTTACTAGTACCTAACAAATACGCCGATGAGAAGAGTTCACTGAATGGTGGATCTTGACTTGATGCTTCTTAAAAAGCCAGGGTCTCATATTTATACGGTTACTATGATCTGAAGAGGCAGCACAAGGCTGCTTCACACAGAGCAGGCCAGCCCTGGTACCACGCTGGGCAGTCGTGACCCACATCACGAACGTGGCTGAAGTTTGGTTCCGCTCAGGGACTCCCTTGTTCACACTTGAGAAAGGGGTGGACCTTAATTGCAAGTGTGTGAAAGGGGTCCCAGGAAGCACTCGAGTGAAGCCTCCTGTATTGTCCCTACGCAGTGTGTGTTAGTACTTCTCTTCACATAAATCAAAGTGAAGGTGTGACTCGTGCCAGCCTGTCAAAAGGGACAAAGTGTTGCACATTGAAAACACTTTATATTTATCCATCAAAGGCACCATTTCTTGTCCCAACAAGTAAAACCAAATTAATGACCGTCAGCAACAAGCCAGGATTAGTGCGAACTTCCTGTCAAGTGGATTTTGGAGATAACAACGAGGAACAGGAAGTGATCATTGCCAAACTGCCTTTGGACTTGAAGCTCAGGATATTCTGAGCAATGCGCCGTAAATAACAGGTCTCAGACAGCAGCTGTCTTTAGACATTTTCCCCCTAATAATAACTCAGATGCAGTTGTCATAGAAAAATTGGACCAGTCACAAGTTCTATATGAAGTCAGTAGCTATAGATGCCATTTATCCTACTTTCACACATCTTATTTCTGTTCAGTTTCCAACACGAAACCACAATACGAGCCGTGTACACAGCTACTCAAGCAGCACGAAGTTATCATTTATAGCTCTGGCATTCAATGGAACATCTGGAACCTCCATCAAATGAGACTCATTTGAGGCACTGCAACACAATATTATTAACAGTAATACAACGATGTACAACAGCTCGCAATGCACAACACAAGCAGAAGAAGTAAACACTAAATTGAGTAAGGCTCAACTGCACATTAAAAGTCCTAGTAAAAAGACAGCCTAGGTCTTTTTCTAAAATCAAATTTAAAAACATGAAACTGACAACTACCATTAGGTTTCCTCTCCTGTTTGTTTCATTAGAGTTCTAAAGACATTTCCGTAACGTGCAAAAAAAGGTTGAAAACACAATGTACAGATCACTCACTCTAGTGGTCCCTATCACAGCTCTAAAAAGCACGCAAGACATCGCATTTCAGTCTCCAACAGACAGAAACGTGACACATGAAAGTGTTAATGTGAGAATGTAGGGCACCTTATCCCTCTTAAATCGGCAACAGTCATCTAAATTAAAAGAAATATTGTAGGGAAATGTAATGAAACATTTCTGATGCCAAGAGGTCAACCTATTGAAACCCAGATGAAACCTTTTGGTAATTGGCCTTGATCGCTAAATCAGACATACTAAATGATGGTATGGGCACCAGCATTATGTGATTGTGAGAGTATTGAACAAGATTCCTGGCCTGTCTTGTCTTTTTTCAAGAAATGGCAGCAGGAGTTCCTTCGACTAATAACTTCCAGCTACCAGAAGGGCTTGATGGAATAACCTCTTAACTTCTTATCAACAGCTCCGATTTCCATTGAGTCAAATCTGGAAGACATACAGTTCAAATGCTCTGCTGTCGGGGGAGATGAATCTCACCACCGGGGCAAACAAAAGCAAAAACAACCGGATCCACGTGTAGGCTTGAGCTCAAATGAGGGACTCGGATCCCTCAGGGATCCGCTTGTGCTGAGGGGTAATAAGAATGAACGCCACCCTCCTGCCCCTCAATCCCTCTACACCGAAGTGGATCTCTAGTGAAGGGTGATGTCTTCTTGTGTCTAGCCACTGGCCTGGTTTAGTGCCCAGCCTTCACAGCCCAGGCCTGCCCTCCCACATCTCAATCCCAGGCTCTGCCTGGTCTCAGCAGATTCATTTTTCACACATTCCTTGGTGTCCCAGTGGAGCCCTTGCTGCGCTCTATCCCACTTTCCCAGAGCCTTGCAGGAGTTTTGCGGTCTGTCCAGGGGAGGCTGGCCATGTTTCTGTAGAGCACAGGCTGTTCCTGCTCGCCGAATCCAGAACGGACTTCCAGACCCACATTTTTAGAACCATATTACAGTTCAATGCCACAAGTGGAGCTTTTGGACTATTTCTCTAAATAAAAGAAAAGCAAAAGCATGTAGCATGTTTGATATCAGATTATAATTCAGTGTTAATAAACCCTTTCAAGGTACCACATTTTGTTTTGGACAAGTGCAATCTTCTGTACAGAATAGCATCCTGGTTTTCTGTCTTGACAGCATTCAGTCTAAAGGTGTGGCAAGCTATTATTTAGGTTTCTACACAGCTTTGGACAATCACAGTTCTCTTTAAAACAAAATGGAAAACAGCTCATGCTCAAAGGTACAGATGCTATTTCTCATTGTATTTGTTTCTGCAATTTCCCTCACGGGATCAATAAAGTATCTATCTATCTCTATCTTGTATTGTGACAAAAGTAACAATATTTCCTCCTTAACTTAACTGTTTTTGCGTTTTCTCTGTGGCACTTATTTTAACTACAGTACCACAATTTCAAACATGAAAGCAGCAGAGAGCTGGTATATAATTTTTCAGCTAATTAGTATTTCAGCTGCTCTTCATTGTCACAGCCAAAGCTTTGGGTCTACCAGGTATCAAAATACTTATAAGGCCACAAGGTTGAAGTCTCTGGGGAATAGATCTGAGCTGCTGAAGAACAGCAAGATCGGAGCACAAAACTAGTAAAACTCAGGTTCCCCAAATTTTGTTAAAAGCATGAAAAAATCCAAAACGATCTACACTCAAAGATGTACAATTAAAGATGTCAAGAGTCAGCAAAAATATTTCGCTTCTCACTTGCAGCAGATTTTTCTCAAACGTCAGTACTTCACAGTTACAGTAAAATACGAACAGTCTAATGTTACAGGTCACAATTACCCTGATTCAATTTCACCAGAAAGCTCTTCACAGCTCGTCTGCCGAGAAAGAGCAGGCATCTCTCCGACAGGACTGGGGATCTGACCCCGATCACGAGCTTGTTTTTCGGATGACTGCACCAGACCTGACTCCAAATCAGAGGAGAGGCTATGAGATAGTCTTCTCCAGTGAACCAAACAAATGACTGCTTTCAGAGAACTAGAAACAAACTACAGCCCTGCGCTGTACCATTTTTCCTGTTGCTGTATTTTGTGTAGTTGTATGCATTTATCACAATTGCGTCTTTGTGCCCCAGTTCACAACAACTCCTGTAGACACAACTAGAGAATGCAGAGGAAGTGCTGACAAATTCCTCTCGACAGGGACTCCTGACCCCTTCATGTTCTTGATGTGGTACAATCTCTGCAGCGCATTGCAGCGAGTCAGGGAGAGGTGTGTCCTTCACCACTGACACAGACACACCTGTTGTAAGAGCCCCTGAAGCCCTAGGGCTCAGGATGCCATCAGGAGCACAGAGAAACTCCTAGCTGACTGATCAGTGAGAGTCGCTCGGTGACATGACTCGGGATCACACTCAGGAACACGATATTTCCTGAAAATATCCCTCAGATATGCTTGACGGTTTTTAACAGACAAACTGCAAAGATTCCTTGTGAGCTTACCAAAGGGGTATTGAACGGTTCAGTCCCTTATATGCCATCACAATTTGTCCTAAGATGATCTAAATACTAGAATCACAATGTCACCCATACCAATTCATTCACAATGCAAGGAAATTCTCTCACACAAAGTATACGTTGACAGAAGGATACAAAGTCCCAGCCTATGTGCAACAATGTTGTTTTCATGGAACTTAAAAGTCCAGTTTGTGTTACTTTTAAGTAACAAAGACATTACTGACTGACAATCTGGCAGCATGGGTGCCCAACTGTTTAAAGAGGACTGTGCCAGTGAACTAACTGTGGCACTCACAATGGCAAACTTAAAGTGCAAATTGAAAACTCTATGGGAACAAGCCCACACGGCAACCAACAGTTACACAAACACAATACACAGCCTATCTTTTTAAACATTTAGCTAATCCTGACAAACGTTCAAAGTTTCCATTCTGAATAGGTATCACACAATAGAAGGCGAATAAATGTTGCCAAGTGAGGTAAACGGTTAATTTGTGCTGTAAAGCAACCAATTATCTTCAGGATAATTAGAAAAGCGTCACATTAGACAGGGCCCAACGTTTGGACAACACACTGGACCTTAGTGCATCACAGCTTTTCTCTGACGTTGCACCTGTAGTGCTGAGGTTTATCAACTCACAGCAAGCCATTTCAAAATAACTTTACGTTCTACTATCAGAAAGTGTGTGCCAGGTAGCAATTAAAATGAACGAGTCTGAGAGAAATAGCCATTCCCAGGCCAGGCTTGTGCTCGTCTCGCAAGCGGCACAGCAGTACAGACTCCCAGGAGCAGGCAAGTCCCTCGGCCCGAGGAAAACACTGCAAACCCTCGAGCTCCGTCCAAAAGGAGGGGGAAAAGAAATCAGCACCGTTTACGCACGCAAGCAGAGCGAAGCCGAGATCTTCTTACCAAAATAATCAGCCTTCGGCTGGGCCTCCATCTCCTCCTCCAGACGCGTCGCCAGGGCTTCCAGTTTGATTTCGGCTGTGGAGGGGCCCCGCTCCGGCGGCGCGCGGAGGGTCTGGCAGGGCAGCCGGACCGCCCTGGGGGGGCCCGGGTTGTGCTGGGGGGAGGCCAG